CAACGCGAGCCGAGGTGGCTTTGTTTCCTCAGCCCTAGCTGCTTTCAATCCGCTCGGGAGGAGGAGGGGGAGGAGGAGGAGATGGTGGCAGCGGCTCGCGTTGTTTTCTGAGATATGCCCAGCTCTGGAGCTCCACACCATTTTTTTTTTTTTTTTCAGGGGGAATCTCACTTGAGTATAAGCCGAGGGGTTTTTTCAGCACAAAAAATGTGCTGAAAAACTCGGCTTATACTTGAGTATATACGGTATATTTTGAATCCAAGATAGTAAGGAAAAAAATCACTATTATAATTTTTAAAGAATATTGTTAAGGAAATTACTTCGAATTTCTTCAACTTCGTCTCTACATTTTGGGTAGATATTGGAAAGGCAACTGAAGCAATCATTTAGCTAATTCTAATAAATAAACTATTTAGAGGAGGACAAGGTGTTTAAAGGAATGAGGCCAGCAAATGTTTCATACTTATATAATCTTTCTGGCTGACAAGAAAAGGCTGCTGGGGAAATGAGTTTTGTAATAGCTTTTTTTAAAAAAGACTGTTCCAACCTTTCTGAAGTAATATTTTTAAGACCGCTGTCAAAGGAGCCCTCTTGAAAACTACTGCTCAGCTAATTTTCTCATCTTTGCTTATAAATAAGATCTTAGAAGGAGTAGTGAAAATAGTGGCTTTCTTGATTATGATGATTTTGGATGAAATTTATCTTTTGAAACAGTGGTGGGATTCAAAATTTTTTTACTACTGGTTCTGTGGGCGTGGCTTGGTGGGCACGGCAGGGGAAGAATACTGTAAAATCTCCATTCCCTCCCCACTCCTGGGGGAAGTTTACTGTAAAGTCCCATTTCCTCCCCACCCCACTAACCTTTCCTGCTCTGTTCTCCTGTGCAGGGCAACAAAAGACCCAGCCAATCAGCTGGGACTTGGGAGGCAGAGAATAGATGGAGGTGGGGCCAGTCAGAATTGGTATTTGCTGGTTCTCTGAACTACTCAAAATTTCCGCTACTAGTTCTTCAGAACCTGCTGAATACCACCTCTGATAACGGATAACAGATAACAGATAATCAGAGTTGGAAGGGACCTTGTAGGTCATCTAGTCCAACCCCCTGCCCAAGCAGGAGACCCTACGCCATTTCTGACAAATGGCAGTCCAATCTCTTCTTGAAAGTCTCAAGTGATGGCACTCCCACAACTTCCGAGGGCAAGCTGTTCCATTGGTTAATTGTTCTCACTGTCAGAAAGTTTCTCCTTATTTCCAGGTTAAATCTCTTCTTGTTCAGTTTCCATCCATTATTCTTGTCTGGCCTACAGGTGCTTTAGAAAATAGCTTGACCCCTTCCTCTCTGTGGCAGCCCCTCAAATATTGGAAGATCGCTATCATGTCACCTCTGGTCCTTCTCTTTACTAGACTAGCCAAGCCCAGTTCCTGCAACTGTTCATTGTATGTTTTAGCCTCCAGTCATCCTGGTTGCTCTTCTCTGTACTTTTTCTAGTCTCAACATCTTTTTTATAATGTGGTGAGCAGAACTGGATGCAGTACTCTAGGTGTGGTCTTTCTAAGGCTTACTAAGGATTTGAAAGCTTTCCAGTCTTAAGTTCAATTTAAGCAATAGCAAAGTAATCTGAAATGTTTAACTGATATTGGATTTGAGTCTTTATTATATGATGTCTCTTGTTCTTAGATGCTGTATTTATCTTGGGGTATCAACTCTTATTGGCTTTAGATATACAAAAATAAATTAGTTTGTCAGGGATTTGATACATGATAATGTTGAGGGTGGAGGTTCGTTTGTCAATGTCAGTGTTCTGTTTTGTGTGGTCAATGGGTTTTGTGATGGGGAGGTCATGTCAGGTGAGAGTCATTGGTAGGAGAAGTACTGATTAAAGGGGTTGGTGGAGCGCCGGAAGCCCCTATAAGCAGAAGAACATACAACCACAGACATCCCCAAATTCTGCTGAAGATGTTACTAGTCTGATAACAAAATTTTGGGAAACCAACCCACAAGCTTGGAGAACGAACCTCTACCCTTATCCTACAGCCGAGTTACAGATATTCACCACTATTGCAAACAAGATGATATTATTTTGGCTTGCTTTTAGGGAATGTTTTGGGTTTTTTTCCTATTTTATTACAATGTGGGTTTTTTTTGTATGTGTGTATCTTAAAGTGTTATACTGTACCCAAAGGCAGGAAAAAAATTCATTTCACATTTGAGTGCTCTTTTAAATAAAAAGAGTTTTCCCAGTTTAAAGGCTTGAATGATGGGAAAAATTGAATGATTGCAGTGACAGAAAATCTTAATACAAAGATAGAGCCATAATTTGAGCAAAAATAGTAATTTGCTTTCTGAAGGGTTACATTTGTTCTTAGAACATGCTAATAGAGGAAATGAAAACCTAATACTTGTCATGCTGGTATTTCTTCTCAATGATAACTATTCAGGCTTCAGGTTGTTAGGTGTTTTATTCCTGATTTTAAATACTTGTTTGCATAACATTTTTTCATCTTCAAAACATCAGTATAATGTGTTTGTATAATGTGATAATTACTGTACATTACAATTTATTTTCCTGTGTATAGTTCCTACCTGTATATATACCTTCTGAAGAGGAAAAGAAAAATCCATCTTTATATGCGAACAATGTGAGGCGTGTAATGGCAGAGTGAGTAAACTAAGGTTTCAAATAGCACCATGACTGCATAGTTTCAAACAGTAGCAACATTTTTGCTTATATATGAAATATTTCAAGAAAAATATTTTTTCTATGCCATGATGTCAAAAGATAGAGGGAAAATATTAACTGATAGGAAATACTTACTGCTATGTTTCAAATAAACAAAAACAAAATAGGAACATTGTAGAGGCAACCAAAGACCTAACTAAATATTTGCATGATTGTAACAGAGAAAGAGAGGAAATATGAGTAATTATGCTATATTACTAAAATTAAATCATTGGGAAAAACTGCAGATAAGGGTTATTTCCCCCACAGTGTCAGAGTTCTTATTGTTAAGATCCTCTGTCTCATTGGCAGTTTATATTTCGTGTAAACATCATGTTCAAACCAGAAGATGAGAAGAAGAGGGCTGATAAAGGAAGTCCAGTAAAAAGAGATGCTTCTCAAGCACATATCTAGGAGTAAAATGTTTTTATAATACTAATTCAGAGACATTTTACTAGATACCAGTAATACATTAAGAGTAAAACTGTCTAAATACTTGTAGATACGTTTTTACAGTAACTGAAATGTCAGAATCTTTGGTCCCTACTGAAGAGAATATATTTTAATAGTTGAACATTAGATGTTTCTAGAAATGAAAATTAGCAATGTAAAATTAGCAATTCTATTCAACAAAAAATAGAAACTACATCATGAGCCCTGGTGGTGCAATGGTTAGAAAGCAGTATTGCAGGATGATTCTTTCCACAGCCAGGAGTTTCATCCTGACAGGCTCAAGGTTGATTCAAGGCTTTTATCCTTCCGAGTTCGGTAAAATGAGGACCCAGATTGTTGGGGGCAAAATGCTGACATTGTAAATTGCTCAGAGAGTGCTGTAAGACACTATGGAGTGGTATATAAGTTGAAGTGCTATTGTTATTGCTATTGTGCATGGCTCAAAAAGAATTCTATGGATTACAGTTACTTTATAAAATTGCAATTCTATATTTAAAATCTTTTTAAACCCATTATGTTAGGGAAATAATAGACACAACTTCCTTCAGTTGTAGGAAGACCTGCATGACTTCTAGAACTTGAAAATATTTTACTCTCAAATCTCACTTGCAGTGGATTTAGTTTCAATCTGTTAATCCTTATCCATCTGATTATAATTTCCAAGCACTGACTGAGTATAGATACATCACCTGAATGTTTGATAAATATAGAAATGAGTATTGTCAGACGCTTCAGGACACCTAACTCCTAACTACCTCTATGGGTAACTAATATACTTTAAGAAGTAACCAAAATCTTGTAATGGGGAAATGGTTTTACAGTACTCGTTGCATGGATTTGATGGGATCAAAAAACCAAGCTGCCAAATCCTGACTCAAATGTTAAATTGGAATGGTCCCAGTATTGAATCCTGTGGAAATTTATACATGCAAGGTGCTAAGGCAGTACCCTGATTAACTATTTCTTGGATCTGATTGGACATAGAGGACAAAAATTACAAAATAACCAGATATGCAAACTACTGTGCTGGGGTTATAAATTAAGGTGCAACTTGGAGATTGCAAGAAATGGATATGCTGAATAGGATTGGGTTCTAGTCTCTTCAAGACAAATTCAACATAGTATCCTCTAGTCATTACCCTCACTTCAATTCGTACTTTCCACTTCTAATATCTGAAAGGTTTGTAAAACAAGAAAACTTCTCTCATGTGTACTACCATGCTATGCCATGATTGAACTTTATGAAATGGTGTGTGTGAGTATATTTGTATATGTGTACATATTTTTGTCTATTTAAGGGCTTTAGGAATTTCAGTAACAGACTATACCTTTGAAGATTGCCAGCTGGCTTTGGCTGAAGGACAACTCTATCTCCCATCAAATACCTGTCTCTTGGAATTTGCAAAACTTGTAAGAAATCTTGGGTAAGAAAATTATCAATATATAGCAAAAAGAAAGCTTTTAACTGTTCAGAATTGTGTAACAAACTGATTATAAAATGCATGTCTCTACTTTTCTGAGTTCTTCAGGTAGCTTTTGGTTCAGACAGAAAGGAGAGATCAGCCTTATTTTCTTCATGCTCTTAGATGCAAAGAAAAAGTGATTTGAAGTGTGATTTGAAAAAAGTGGCAGATTTAGTGTATCATTATGGAGATTTTATATGGCTGTATAGATATACATCACTTACTATAAACGTAAGAATTTATGTTGGGAAAAATTATTTTCTGTGAGAAGTACATAAAAATGAATCAACAGACTTTTGAAAATCTGATCCATGGGAGGCTTTATTAGGGAAAATACTGCAGTATGGAACCCTTGACTCCAAAACCATGTTTAGGAGAAAAGGAGACACTCCCATTTAGTGAATACAGCTTGTATAGGTTTATCAAATCACATGGTTATGTAACACTTCCTGTTTCCCATATATGGACGTTATGCAACAGTTTCATAAGAAAGTTCCAACCTTCCATGGACAACTCCCAATATTCCCATTATAGTCAGATTTCCTGTTATTCAAATTCCATAAGAAAACCATTAATGTCTTTTAATGTGACATCTAATGTCAGAGCACCCCAGCACATACCTCTAACTTATGCCAGGTGCATAGTTTTGCAATCTTGTATTATTTCTAGGCAGAAAACACATTACATAATGTTCTGAGCTTTAAAAGTTCAGACTGTGAACACAAAATGGCTTCAGTTCGGCTCTTCAGATTCTCAGGTGTAATAGCCAAATTTTCACCTATAACATTTTCCCTGCTAGAAGTATTTAATGTATTTTACAAAGTGAGAGTTCTGTTGAAATACTCTATTTTTTTTATAGCCAAAGTTTTTATTCAGATACAATTCAGGATACAGAATTTGTAAAGCCCTTCTATTGAGAACAAAAAAATGTAGGGGTATATTGCAGGAAGAAAAGAATGTATAGCCTTGATAGTGGTATTTTGTAAAACAGAACATAAATTGCTCAATTGAAAATAAATTTTAACTGAAATCAAGTTTTTTCCCTAATCGGTTTCAATTAAAACCAAGTTTTTTTGAGCTAATTTAAAAAATAGAGATGAGTCCTCTTTTTTTTCCTTAAGTGATTGTTTTCAAAAAGTAATACTTTGTTTTCCTTGCTATTTTAAGGTTAAAGCCAGAAAAACTTGAAAAAGAACTTGATGCATACTCAGAAAGAGCTAGGAAATTGAAAAACAAAAAAATCACTCTTAAGGAATTTGCAGAGTATTTGAAAATCCAAGTTTCAGATATGTTAGAAAATATGTTTGCACTTTTTGAAGAGGTAAGAATTCATTATCACCAGAAATATAACACAAAAGTTATTGTACAGTAGAAAATGTTACTGTGGGTGAAATCCACTTGTGTCCATGTGCCAAAAGAATGGGAAGGAATAGTGTCACACAAGTTGCTGGAGGAGGAAATAGCTTTGCTTTGCCACTGCACAAAAATGCAATTTGTCACCCATGATCATTTTATCCACACACTTGAAGCTATACTAATTTTTCCACAGTGTTCAGTTGATCAGCAATCAGTTCATTAATAGAGAAAATGTTTATTGTCACTAACAACAGTTAGAAATAACCATCTTCCTTCTTCAGTGGCAAGATTGAAGCCTCTTCCTCCCCCCGCACCCTAGTGATCTGTATATGATTTAGTTAATGAGTGAAAGTGAATCTACAGATTGATTTATGACCACAATGGTGCCCAGGATTCTGATAATGAACTGTTGGATTTGTAAGTCAAAGGATCACATGACTAGCCTAGTTTTACAACCAGTTTTTGTGATTGGTTCATAAAGCAAGATATCAAGGTTGTTAAGTGAACTACCTGGTTATTAAGTGAATCTAGCATACACAATGGACATTTTTTGCCATTTTCTGCTGGAAAACAGCAAAATCATTGCAAATCACTGCAACCAGTTATAAATAACCCGAAATACGATTGTGTAAACATGGGGAGGTGCAGCAGTTATAAGTTTGAGGATGAGTGGTAGGTAGTCCAGTATAACTTCAAACAGTTGTTAAGTGATTAGTTGTAAGTTGAGGACTTACCTGTATATGCATGTGAGAGAAACTGTACATATAGTCCTCAAAATACAACAGTTCGCTTAGTGACTGTTCAAAGTTATAACAGTACTGAAAAAAGTGACTTATGACCATTTTTCACACATATCTCCATTGCAGCATCCCCTTGGTCATATGATTTACATTTGGATGCTTGACAATTAACTCACATGTATGATGGTTGCAATGTCCTCGGATCATGTGATCACCTTTTGCAACCTTCTGACAAGCAAAGTCAAAGAGGAAAGAAGAGTCACTCAACAACCATGTTACTAATTTAATAACTACAGTGATTCCCTTAACAAATGTGGCAAGAAAAGTCATAAAGTGGGGCAAAACTCACTTAACAAATTTTGGGCTCAATTGTGGTTGTAAGTTGAGGACTACCTGTATTTGGAAACAAGAAATGGCTGTGGATATGATTTGACTCCACCTACCAGTACTAGTCTTGTTACATATATTTTGTGGGGACAATTGCATCCCTCCACTGCTAAATTTTTCACTCTGCAGTAAAAAATTGCTAATCAAATTGCCTATATTTCTTTACATAATCATATTTTTAGGGGATAGGTTGCTGAAAAATGAAACCATAAATAAATACATACTTCAAACTTTCTAAGTCCCATTCTGATAAAGAAAACTGAAGTTTACATAAGATTTTCAGAAATTCACAAGGATTTGCCCCATCTAAATAGTAGTTGCATTAATCCCAGTTTTAGAAAATTTGTGTCTGTAACTTCAGAAATTTTCATATAGTCTCTACATATGAATTTCTGCATGTTCCTTTACTTTTTCAACAGAAGGAAGATGGCCTGATTGACATACGAGAATATGTAACAGCTTTGTCGGTAGTCTGTAGACCTTCTAAAACATTGCAAACAATGCAGTTGGCTTTTAAGGCAAGTAACAATTTTTATTTAATGTGCTCAATTAATGGCTATTTAAAACCAAGTTTTTTTTAATAGGTAGGTCAAATGCTAGCTACAACTTCATTATATCTGAAACTCACTACTGACTTTACAACTGTTCCTAAGTGTTACCATCTGCTACAAATCTTAGCAGCAATCTGGACTGTAGAAACATGATGCCACTTTTGTCTGTACATACAAAATGAGAAGGGCCAGGGTTTTTTTTTCCTTTGCATGACACACATGGCTTTGTATCTGGAAGACCTTTAGTCCACAATATTTTAGAGCTGAGCTTTGAATTGCTCTCCCTAACGTGCATATCTATATCAAGAGACTTATCAAATTAGTTCCCTTTTTTGTTTCTGTAGTAAGACATAATGAGAAATAATCCCCATCTCAATTTCCTTTTGGCCATATTGATCATGCTTTCCTGCTTATTAATTTCTATCTTGTTTTAGTCCGCTCTTTCTTTCTACTATTATTGCATCTTTTTTTCCCCTAACATTTTTACTTTAATATGGTATATTTTGCCAAAGTTCTCTTAGCCAATGGCTTCAAGTCCCATCTTTTGAAAGGGAGGGGGACAATACATACATTGTAAATGTAAGCTTCCTATCACTAGAACATTCTTTGTGCCACTTCCATTGGATTTTGTGTTCATTGGCAGAGCTGCGCATCTTAAAGTTTCAAAGACCACAAAGTGTTTCATGCTCTGACTCATTACAAAACTGTATTTTCAGACTTTAGGCTGATCAAGCAGTGCTAGTTCGATATGCTTCCTTGCTAAACTCTAGCATGGGTAGTTTTGCTGTATTGCTGATGGAAGTTTAACATTGATACTCTATTGTAGTATATCTCCTCCCTCTCATTCCAAGCCAAATACACTGGTACTGCCAATGATTTCTGGAGAGTTCTTGACACCAGGAAAATCAGTTATGAATTTAAACACTGCTAATAAATATTTCACAAGAAGAGTTCTCCACTCCTCTACTCGTTGTAGAATACCTTATGCCACCAGACTTGAAATTCTAGAACTAGAAAACCTTGAATTACGCCGTCTTCGGTCTGATCTATGTATGGTATATAAAATCATACAATGCAATATTTTACCTGTCAATGAATACTTCAGCTTCAACCATAACAACACAAGAGCACACAATAGATACAAACTCAAGGCTAACCGCACCAAACTTGATTGTAGGAAATACAGCTTCAGCAACAGAGTGGTCAATGTCTGGAATACTCTACCTGACTCTGTAGTTTCTACCCCAAAAACTTTAACCTTAGACTGTCTACTATTGACCTCACCCCTTTCCTAAGAGGTCTCTAGAGGGCATGCATAAGCGCACCAACGTGCCTACTGTCCCTGTCCTATTGTTTCTTTTATTTTTCTTTTATTTTTCTTATATGTACCCATTTCATGTATTCATAACTATGTATACACTTATACTTATTATCTTGTAAACAATTGACAAATCAAATAAATAAATAAATAAAAATAAAATAAATAAATAGATTTGAATACATTATGTCTTACATAATTCAATATTTTGATTCATCGAAGTGGCTGATTGCAACAGATCACCAATTTTGACCTCTGTTCCTTCTCCTTCATCTCCAGTGACTGGCACTATGCCATTGATACCATCTTTGAAATGTCCAACTCCATCACCCTACTTTTCAAGGCTCCCAATTCTTGATCCTCAGGCATGATTCTGTAGATCTTTACAAAACCTGATGATTTCTTCTCTGAGGCCAAGATTCCTAAGTGTTCCACAATCAACTTTACCACAACTACTGTTTGAATATGCATAGTGCTACCATTTCTTAGTGGGAAGTTACCACATATTCCATATATCCATCCAATATCAACACTATGTTTAGGATTCATAATATTAACATAGATCCTATCCCTTCATATGTAGACTCTCTTTGGTTCCAGTCTTCATGGCTATGTGTTCTGTGTTCAATTATCCATATTGATCACTAAAACCGTCTCAAGCTTAACTCATAAAGCTCAAGTTTCTGCGGTCTCCAAATGCTAAAACTGTTCAGTTCCTTCAGTACCGCTTATCCATCCCATTGACTCCCTTCCCTCAATACTGTTGTTCCATCCTTCATATTGTATCTGTAGTTACCATTTTTATACCTTAGCTACAGACCCAGCTCTTTTTTTCATTTCCATAGCTCATTTCTGTTCTGTAGCTCCTGCTTGAATTTCTGTGATTCCAGTGCTTTGCAGCCCCATTAATTAGGATATTGGCTTATAAACTCTAGTGCCTTACATTCAATAAATCACTAGAGATGTGCTATGTTCCTTCTTGCTTCAAACACTCTACAATCATCCCAATGCCAAAGAAGTCTTCCATCAGGAAACTGAATGACCACAAACCAGTTGCTCTGACATCTGTAGTTATGAAAACCTTTGAAAGGCTAGTGTACTGTCCCACCTAAAAACCATCACGGATCTTTCACGCTGTTAGATCCCATGCAGTTTACATACCGAACAAATAGATCGACAAATGATGCTGTTAATATGGTTCTGCACTACATCCTACGACACCTTGAATCTCCAAATACCTATGCAAGGGTCCTCAAGGGTCCAAGGTTCAGCATTCAATACCATCATTCCAGACATTCTTCTAACTAACTAAACCAGCTAGCGGTACCTGAACACACTTGTAAGTGGATCGTAAGCTTCCTAACAGACAGGAAGCAGCAGGTGAACCTAGGCAGAATCACAGTTTATATTGATTGGTAGGGGAAAAAAATCACACTATCTAGGGGCAGAAAGAGGTGTATTTGGAAATGAAGTGAAGCTTATATAGTTTTCTGGTACTAAACCTAATATTTTATTTCGTGTCTCATATTTAATAATAAATATGGTTCTTTTCTGGAAGCTCAAATAATAGGTGTCTATATTTTACAGATGTATCAATCAGAAACTGGTGGTATAACAGAACAAGAGTTAACTTCCATCCTGAAGAGTGCCATGGGTGTTTCAGACCTTAATGTGTCAAGTCTATTTAAAGCTATAGATGACAAAGAAAAAGGGGAAATTGCTTATGGTAAGTCTATGAAACAGGTCTTTTATAGATTTTTGTGTATGGAAATCAGAAAGGGATCTGGAAACAAAATCTATCCAAACACAGGAAACAGCCTCCATCAAAGCAGGCAAGGCATTCTGCTAACTATAGACTGGCAGCAAACGCCATACTCATTCACAATGATGATGTTACCTAGTCAAGTAATAAAAGGTCTGCAAACAAACAACTAAGGTCAGACAGCAACAAGAACTCCACAGTTCTTGAACTCTGAGCTATACTCTTCTAGTGGTACCTGAACAGATATTGAGGCTCAATACTAGAAAGGGAAGGATCAAACTTTAAAGCTACTGTGCATTTCCTTCTTTTGTAATAATTGCATTTGGAGCCTGCAGTTGCTTGTTTGTTTATATAGACTATGGGTTGCTTATTTATGCCCATGCCACACATGTAAATAAATAGATAACACACAAAATACAGCGCACTACATGCTGTGTGGTATAATCATATTGAAGCCTTACAACATTTTGACTCACATTAAAAGATGGAATGCAACTACTTGACAGTGTTACCCATTGCTTTTAATTGCCCACATTCCATATCAATGAAATAAAGAGGTGTTCTTGAAAGAGAATCGTTTAGGGCAGTCCTGCAAGGTAATCTACAATTAATATTGCAAAACCAGTACTGTGACTCCTGGTCAGTCCTACCACATTTCCTAGGTTGTTCTGTATCTCCCTTAGTTGCAAGTTCTTCTAGTCCTTACTAGTAAAATTAACATATATCCATGCTTCTTTGATACTAGTTTCTTAAATGGACTGTACAGAAATCTACGCTATCTATACAAAAATAAAAAAATCCTACACTGGTCTTCAATTTAGTACAGAAAAAGTATATACCATGTTTCTCCAACAATACGGCCTCCACCAATAGGAAGGCCCAGCATGATTTCTAGGCATGAGGTGAAATTAAGCCCCACCCCCAAAATGTAGGCCTATTCAAACCATGCTCTTCCCCACCATTTCTCACATCGTTTGTTAGAACTACACGAGGTGAAGAGAAATGGGCGGGGGAAGGGCGGGGGATGGGGAGAAAACTTGCCTTTAGGAGTGCCCTGCAGGAAGCCTAGGCTAGAATACCCCAATAGCCGATAGAAGCTCCCTGAAGGCAGAGTCCCCAACCGCTTCAGGACATGGCATGGCTACCCGTGTCCCCTCGCCTTTAGGGCAGTCTCTTTTGGGTGATGGAAGCTCCCCAAATGCAGTCACCAGCTACTTCAGTCAACCGGTAGAAGCGGCATCGCAGCAAGGGGAGTGTGTGTGTGCCATGCCTCGCCCCAAAGCGGCTGGGGACTCTGCCTTCAAGGGAGCTTCGATCGGCCAGTAGAAGCGGCCTCGGGGCGAGTGCACACACACACTCCCCTCGGCGCGAGGCCGCTTCTATCAGCAGATGAAAGCTCCCTTGAAGGCAGAGTGCCCAGCCGCTTCAGGGCGAGGTGTGGCTGCTGTCATGTCCCCTCGCCTTTAGGCAGTCTCTTTCGAGCAATGGAAACTCCCCAAATGCAGTCACCAGCCACTTCGATTGGCCGGTAGAAGCAGCCTCGGGGCGAGCGTGTGCGCACGCGCACACACACACACACTTCCCTCGCCACGAGGCCGCTTCTATCGGCAGACGAAAGCTCCCTTGAAGGCAGAGTCCCCAGAGTGTGTGTGTGTGTGCGCGCGCTCGCCCCAAGGCCGCTTCTACCGGCTGATCGAAGTGGCTGGTGACTGCATTTGGGAAGCTTCCATTGCCCGAAAGAGACTGCTTAAAGGCGAGAGGACACGGGCAGCTACGCCACGCCCTGAAGCAGCTGGGGACTCTGCCTTCGGGGAGCTTTCGTTGGCCGATAGAAGCGGCGTGGCGGCGAGGTACGTGCGTATGGGCCGCTCTAGGTGGGGGAGGAAATTAAGTCACCCCCGAAAAGACCGCCTACCCGTTTTTTCAGGGGTCAAAAAAAAAATAAGGCCTGGCCTTATTTTGTGAGAAACACGGTAGTATTTCTCTTTTCTGTTCTTAATTAAAATATTTTAATTTCTTTTACCACTTCTTTTATCTTCTCTCTGATTTTGAAAATTACCCTTAAGCATGATAGCGGTGAAATGCAGACATTGGGATTTTGAATTGCATTCTAAGGAATTCTGAAGTATCTTGGGATTTTTTTCCTAGAAAGATTGCTGAACATTTGTTAATAATTTTTTTCACATTTCTCTGCAGCATGCAGTTATGGAAATATAATGGAATCTTAGGGTACCAAATCTGAATTGAGATAGGCAGTAGTCTGAGAAGAGAAAATTTGAAATTTGATAAGCAATAGAAATGGTAATTGCCTTTGATGAAACATAATGCTGTTTCTGTCAGAGGATATTGTAGATAAATATTGAGAAACATGAAACCAGGGAAAACAAACATAGTTTGAAAAACACTCTAATACTGTTGTTCTTTAACTTTGGTTCTTACAGGATGATGTTGATGTTGATGTTGATGTCTACAAAGCCCTGTTATAATTATGCACTCTATAATGTATTGCTCCAAATATTCCATAATACTAAACAATTATTAAGTTAACAATCCTAACCTTAAACATGTTCCTAAAGATAGATAAACCATAACTTAGCATTCTTAGGCAAAACCTATTGAAATCAGTTCATTCACCATAAACTTAGTTTCCATTGATTTGAGTAGACCTAAAGCATAATTTTTCATTTAGATAATTATATACAATACTTTTAATATGACTTATAATACAGCAAAAACACCTATGATAGTAATTGAAATGATTATTGAAACTGTCTTTTTTCCATTTCTAGATGATTTCCATTATTTTACTGAAACGTTCCCAAACTTTGCTGAAGAGTACCTATATCCTGATCAAATGGAGTCAAAAAATTATTTGAAAACTCCTGCTCCTAATGGATTCTGTGCAGATTTCAGCCCACAAATTACTGAAAATAGAAGAAATTCCCTACAGAAAAAAATGAATTGATATTAATAATTCTGTCATCCTCTTGTGGTGAGAGGAGTATGTCCTATCTAGGGCTTTTCATAGTCACACAGCTATATAACCTGAAGTATGTGAGAAGGCTGTATGTGTGGATGTGTGAAAAAGGAAGGAAGGAAGGAAAGAAAGAGAGAAAGAAAGAGAGAGAGAAAGAAAGAAAGAAAAAGAGAAAGAAAGAAAGAAAGAAAGAAAGAAAGGTGTGTATGAATATTTTACTGCATTAATGAGCATCTTTGGCTTCCTATTGGAAAGATCACTTTTTCCATCAGCAACTTGGAAAGTAAAGAATGTAAACAAACTTTAATTTGTATACTTAAAAACAAGATGCTTGCATATTTATATTCATTGTTTGATTTCATGTACAAACTGTCCTACAAAGTGTGCATGTGAAAAAAATACTGTAGCTCCTATGGTGTCAAGTGCACTTCGGTGATTAGTGTTATCCCTATTTAGGGAATTCTTTGTGGGCCAGATTCTGCTTTCCTTTTTTATAAGGCAACATTGACTGCTATTGTCAATGGCCTTCAGAGCAAGGCAAGCTCAGTTTCACCTTTTTCATTGTAATCTAGTAGGTAGCTAAAGGGGGGAAAGTATGCAAAAATATTTTTACCTAGGGAATTGTTTTTATTGTGTTTCCTTGTACAATGACCTTTTTTGAACTTTTCAATCCATCTTGATATCAAAAAGAATAAGGGAAGTTAACAGGATTGTGTGCATTTTGTGCTAACAACCCAGATTTTAGCACAGAAAAGCAGATTTTATACTTCAGAAAAGCTGAATTCCAAAGTCTGTCTCTCAATGCTATGAATTAGGTATATTTCTGTATTTCATGTTGATTGGCTTATGGGTAAAGGAAGGTGAACAATTGCAAAAAAAAATGGATGCAGACCTAAGAAACACTGCCTCTGACAATTGGAAATTCAGATCGTTCTCAGCCTTAAGATCTAGAAACATGCCTTTTTAAAGTTTAAAATTCTCAGGATAGCAAAATCTGCACTTACAGTAGAAGTTCCGTATTTCTGGGGGGATCATGGAATACACACAGCCTTGCTTATTTCCCTGTCTTCTCTGTCACTGCTGCATTTGATGTTCTAGGCAATGATATTTAAACAAGGGTCATTTTAAAAGTTTCAGTAGCTTTTTGCACAGAATGAAATTTTCTATTAGATTGAACGGGCATAAAATAAAGTTGCTGTATTATAAATCCTAATAATTATCATACAGTTTCTTACAGGTCACAAGTTTTAGCTATATGATTTTGAGTGAAAAGATTTTTTTGGTACTATATCTGTTTTTTTATATAATTCCTGACTTTGTAATTACTTTTCACTGAAAAATTGCAGGTTTGCAAAATGTTTTAATACAAAGCAGTTGTTTCAGTTTCGAAGTGGGATGTTCAGCTATTCTAGAAATGAATTTCAGTCTCAAAATGGAAGTGTGATAATATCAGAATGTCCTATTTCAGAGTCAGAACAACTGTTTCAAACTCAAAATAAAGCATTTTAAACTAAAAAGATTTCAAATTCAAGTTACTTTGCACTAGTTACCTCTCGTGAAAACCTCGTGTGCTGGTTCTCACAAGACACTGATGTTAGTGCTGTTTACTACAACTTTACATAAAAGCTGTCTTACTGGCTTATTACATTTTGTGTATGAATCTCTTTCTTTCCATAACCAATGGGATCATATACTTTTGAATAACTTTTTAGATTATAAATATTTTTAATGTGCATATGTTTATGAAATCCTGAAAAATACATATACATTGCTTTCATCTAGTCTTAAAAATGTATTTTCCTTCCCTTTTAATTTAGTCTATTGGATATGCTTATCACTATTCATTCTTCCCACTAATTCAGTTTATTTCTCAGGAATTTGGTTACAATCATTTACCAAGGCAATTCTCTAATCTCTAAGCCACACAATACTTTGCCTCTACTCTGGATGCTTCCATTATAAATTACTATTCTGTAAATGTACATCCACAAAAATATTTTAATGCAAGCATCTAATTTGGTGCAATGACTAAACTTAGATTTTAATATAATCATAGACCAATTGAATTTTAAAAATACCAATTTACAGTATATCTCACACATAGATAAAGGAGAATAAAAATATTTTGTTAAAAAAACTAATTCTGTTTTGAGACATGTTTTATTACAGCCATTCTGGCAGTGTGGTGGCTGCAAGTTGACATTGCACGTAGAATGTATACACAGAAAGCCCTTATCAATTTTAAATCCTGGTGATTAGAAGTACCTTGTGTCCTTGGCCTTTCAATTTTGCAGTCACAGAAACCATATGAGATGCTCTCTTTTTTCATAATTCAAAAGCAGCTATTTCTTTCCAAGTAACTAACTAAATATTCTAAAGAAATGAGATTGCTGCTTTATTTACATGCCTGTTCTGTTTAGTTGTAATATTCCATTAATTGGCATAAAAATACTGCCTGTTTAAATCTGTGCAAAGAGCTTTTTTGAAACTAGTAGAATAGTGTATTTCAAGTTTGGGACCAAAGATTTTTTCCCCTTTTAGGTTGATAGAGCTGCTGTGATCACTTCAGGCTTTCTACTTTTAGTGGGAGCAGCTTTTGATAGATTTTAGACTGACTGTGGGATAATGACTATATTAATATAGAGTCCTACTGTGCAAGTAATTGCCACAACATTTTTATAAGTCCTGCTATCATTTCTATGTTAATGTAGGGGTGGCTTGTTTTCATAATGTTTCAAAACATAAAGGTTTTTACATATAGTAGCAGGAATGGATCTCTTGCTATCAAGTTGCTTTTATTTTGCTAATAATGCTTTTTTTTAAGAGCATATGGAGAAGGAGGTTTTTAAAAAACCAAGTCCTCCTCAGAAATTTTCAAAGCTGAAATCTATTTAGAATTTAAAATATATAATATCTTCTATTTTAAAATTATTTGGGTAAAATGGGATAAGGATAATGCAGATCAAGGCTATGTTCAATGGTATTACTATGGATTTAGCCACAAAATGATGCTTATCCTTTTGTTTTACCCACTTTGCCAAATTACATATACGGTTTTGTGATGATGTGGATGATTGTTTGCATAAATGATTCTTAGCTGAAGTAATCTAATACATCTATAAGTCTGGTCCTCCCTCCCTTCTGTTCAGTGAGTTAAACTAGATTCTGCAAAGTATCAGTAATTGATAGTGCTATTTTTCCTTAAAACCAAAATACTGATTTTAAAGAAACTTCAGTCTCAGAATTCCATTCATTTTGAAAAGTGGTAATTCATTATCAGTCATTTCTCTTAATAATGAATATTCTCTGATTGTTGATTCTTGCCAAAGCAGTGTGATCCAGTTTCAAGAAAAGATAAAGAAATACTTTGGTATAGATTAATGCTATTAGGTGGGACAAATAAGACAGAATTATTGTCTAATAATTGGGCATAGCTAGCTGACCTATAAGATAAGAAGCCATAACTTAATAACATCTTATCAAAGGCCGTATTTGTAATTCATGAAGACCACCACATTTATTACTGGTATCACTTCTTTATATGTAAGAAAGAATTCTACAGTAATACAGTTGAATGGGAAATGCAGCCCCTTTTAGAGTGAGGAACTGTTACATTTTTAAAATCCTTAGTATGCAGAATCAGTGGGAAGGCATTATGTAGGAAAGTTTTGGTAGAGGAATTTCCAGTAGAGAAAGCTACAAAGTTTATCATAATGTTTTATTTACCCAGTCAGGTTCCATGGTAGAAAAACAAAAAGGATGATAGAAAGGATATCCCCTTGCTAAATTTTGTATTATTCTTGTTTCTCTATTTTACTAAAGGCCTTGAAAAAACAAAACAAATATGCCAAGGCCCAGGACTTGTGCTAGCTCAATTATCTGAAGAGAAATTTAAAGAACAACTGTCATCTGCTTCATCAACTATCATCAACTAACAGATATACTGTATATCAAGGTTGCATTCTGCTTCCTCCTTCCACTGATTCCTATTAAGCCACAGAAAGCTTCCTACCATATGGGATGTTTTATTGCATTCTCTCTATGATTTATATGTATGGCTTAGGTATCCATGCAGATGCTATCCATGCAGCCAAAAGATACAAAATTTCAAGGAGGAATGCCATTTTCTCTATGTATCATTGCACATGACTAGATCAGATCACATTTAAACCCTCTTATTACGTTTTTGTAACCACAGTAATTAACTTCTCTCCCAGATTTTTCTCTGAACCCAAAATACTTTTCTGTATCCATTTATTACTCCCATTTCTATTTTACCTTGCAAGGAGCATGTGCAAAATGTTACTGTCCCCCTCATGGACAGACTTTCCAGTATCTGTTTTTGGTCCTGAAGATACTATTCCACAAGTGCCATTGTTGTAGAAGGAATGTTCATTCTTCAGATTGATTATTTTCTATCTTGGGAAAGGTGATGCAGTAATCTCTTGTAAATATTGCTAAACAGACAGGATCAGCATAATCATTTGTCTTGGTTGTGAATTTTCCTTGAGAACAAGCATATGGATGGCAGATTCTGGCATTCTTCCTCCATTTAAAGCCTACTGTACCCACTTTCCCTTTTTGATTGCAGCCTCTCTTTCATAGGAAATACCAAGCTTCTATTGTATTGCTACTTGTAACAGAGGAATTGCTCATTAAATTGACAAAGCCTTCCCAAAATCCTGGCCCACTCAAGACTAAACAGGACAAAACTAGAAAGAAAAAAAATCAGGGTGTTGTAGAGTTTCCACTTTGAGTTCTTTTCTATGCTTGCTTGTTTCTACCATTGCTAGATTTAGCTGTCTGAGCCACATAAATGCTTCCTGGTTTTCCTCGATTTTAAGGCTAAGTATCAGAGGGAGAGTTTATTAATAGCTCTTCAGATTACTCTTTTAGAACAGAAAAGTTGGGGATGAAGACCCTCTCCTACTTCAGCATAGTCAAGATCAAAGCTGCAAACATGTTTTTGGGGTGGGGGGTGGGTGGGTGGAATATCTTTCTATAAGTTCCATGTCTAGCATGTTCCAGAAATTAAAATTTTGTCTTATGGCATCAGCTTTGCTTTGATTTTGATCACTCTTCTAATCTTGTTAAAAGTACTAATTTTTAAATACGATTATTATCACCTTTGAATGCTGTAACCAGCAGTTTCCCTCATGCAGTGGTTTTATGTTCTTAGGATATGACTCCTTAAAAACAGAACTGACATCTCAGATTTAATTTTCCATGGCTTTATCTTGAGTGTAACTAACTTATACTCACAGACTGGAATTACATTTTCATATGTTCCTCAGCTCTGGAGTTTTATATAGATTTGAAGGGGATTACCAAATTTGATTAAAATTACCCATCTCACAATTCTGTTGTGTTGGAGGTATCTTACTCCAGTTGTCACTCTCAGCAAAGCCCAAGGCATGGATAAGGAAGAAGGTATTGAACACAAATTATTATCCTCAGAGATACTCTGCGTTGCAAATCATCTGTATGGTGAAATGCCACATTTTTATAGGAGGAGTTTCCTACCAGCCTACTTGTTAAATGATAAGTATCAGATAATTCTGATAAATGAACGAGCTCATTTTGTTTTTTTTAAAAAAACCTTAATTCTAATGGTAGTAGCCTTGTGAGGTAGTTACAAGAAAATACACCCCTAATTCTACTAAAGAATTTGTTCAATAAAATTAGGTCATAGCTACCTCTCACTGTATCATTGGACCAAATATTCTTTTACATATTTCCCACTGTTATA